GGGTTGCGGACGGGCTCGCCCGAGCGGTTGCTCACGTTGCCCGCCTTGATGCGTTTCCACTTGGCGCGGCGGTTCTGGAACCAGATCTTCACCTGCACCTCGCTCAGCTTCAGGGCGTGCGCGATCTGCGAGCGCTCCGTCAGGCTCAGGTACTTCTTGCAGTGGAACTCCTTCTCCAGCTCCAGAAGCTGCTCGCTGGTGAAGGCCGTGCCGCGCCGGCGGCTCTTGCCGGCCCCGGAGCCCGGCGGGGCCTGCTCGGCCGCGGGGCCGCCCTTGCCCTTGCCCTCACCCGCAGACACCCTGGGGTACGAGCCACCGCAGACAGCAGCTGCCACCATCCCCATCCCGCAGCCCGGCCGTAGCAGCCGCACCGCCTTATCCCAGCAGAGCACACTGCAGCCCTTCCAGGGCTTGTCCAGACCTCTGCATCCGGAAAGGAAGTCTGTACCTTGCCCCTCAGCTCAGCCCTCCCTCTGTTGCATCCCACTGCATCAGACGTCGATGCTGTTCTCCCAGGAAGAAGCCAGCCAAGAGGAGCTGAAGGACTGTCCTGGAAACAGCAGCCTGAGCCAGTTCCAGCCCAGCAAACCTCTATACAGGGCTCTACAGGACATGGGGGTCCTACTGCCAGCTCTCCCTCCCTAACCCCAGGATGCACTACAGCAGAGTTGCGCAGCCAGGGAAGACGGTGCTTGGGCAGCTGATGCCCAAGGCTTAGCTCCCCCCACCGGCCTGTGCAGAGGGGCAGGCCAGAGGCTGCCAACATCACTCAACAGGCAGGACATCATCCCAGGCCACCCAGACAGGAGGCAGCACTTGGACCAGTGCAGACACCGCAGTTAGGTTGCCTGCAAGGATACTGATAGGGTATAGGGGTATGAAGCTTCTTGCCAGCTTCTTGTGTCCCGAACTGCTGCCTGAATGATTAAACAGCCATGGAGCAAGGGAGGACGTGGGTGGGAGACAGCGGGGAGGAAAGAGCCCTGGAAGGCACTCACTTCCCTGGTAGAAGGTCTCAAACGAAGGCCTCACAGGAGATCGAGCGAGAAGATGCTCCCAGCCATAGCCAGGGGTCATGGAGGGAGAGGACCCACAGCTATGCACAACCAGATGAAGAAGCTTTTCTGTCATGCTGAGACCAGCAAACTCTCCAAGTCTGACCCACCAGCAGGA